GAAATTCAACTCTATGTACTGTTATTGAGAGGACAATTAGTTTGCTTAAAAAAAGATTTGCGTATTTAAAGCATCAGCCTTATCACGACATTGACACACAAGCAAAGATAGTCCTTACTTGTTCAACCGTCCACAACTTCCTAAGGATTGATGATCTAGAAGATGTTTGTGAGGAGGACTTAGATTGTAGTGATGATGAGGTTAACCCTATACATGTTGATGCACTTGAAGATGAAACTTCAAATACTCACATATCTTTCACAGCTCAAGAAGTATGGTGTAATAAGAGGAATACAATTGCTGATTTAATGTGGATTGATTATCTTCCTAATCAGAATGCGGGAGTCGATTTCGATTGAAATGTGATTTAGTAATTTTTTATGTTCTTATGTAATGGGCATAAACTTGATAAACTTTCTTATTTAGTTATTTCTTAGATTGAAAACATATTGACATTAGACAGATTTTTGTTTTCTGTGTCCTTATGTAGTGGTTGATATAAGATTGATATACATTTAAATCTTGTAATTAGAATTCTTGTTATTGGAGATAAAATGTTGACATGTGTTTTATTTTACATGCTCTTATTTACTGGTTGACCAAATACTTTTAATCGTGCAACATAGATTTTATAGCACATAATTGACAAAGCTCTACGGTACCTTTTCGAGTTCCTAAACCAACCACACATTCAGATATGGAGGAAATAAGCTCAAACCAAGTAGATCCTAATTCTAGGATTCGTCATGTACGTTGGAGTGATGCAATGAATGGTTGTATGATAATTGCATTACTGCATCAAGTGTTGGCGAGCTCCAAAAGGGGTGACAATGGCTTTTCATCATATCATGTGTCTAAAGCAATTGAGAGCGTGTTCAATAGATGCGAAGTCGTGGTGTTAGATAAAAATGTGAAGGCATGATTGAAGACTTTGAAAAACGAATATGTTGAAGTTCGTCGGTTGTTAAGTATAAATGATTTTGGGTTGATCCTGACACTGGACATGTCACAACCCATATACCAGCTTGGGAGGAGTTTCTGAAGGTACAATATATCAACGACCAATGAAATTATTAATCATTATAAATTACTAGTATAATTTATTTTAAACATTGACTATGCATAAAACATATTCCATTGAACAGTTGACTTTGAAAAACGAATATGTTGAAGTTCGTCGGTTGTTAAGTATAAATGATTTTGGGTTGATCCTGACACTGGACATGTCACAGCCCATATACCAGCTTGGGAGGAGTTTCTGAAGGTACAATATATCAACGACCAATGAAATTATTAATCATTATAAATTACTAGTATAATTTATTTTAAACATTGACTATGCATAAAACATATTCCATTGAACAGTTAACATCTTTCAAATAAGTGAAAAAACATATTCCATTGAATGTGTCAGATAAAAATGTGAGGGCATGATTGAAGACTCTTTTTTTTGCAGGGCAAACCAGAATTTGGGAAGTAGAGGACCAAACTTTGTACTCATTATGATGATTTGGAAGCTATATTTGGAAATGATTCTGCTACAAGAGATCGCATTGTAACTGGGAATGATAATTTATCACCAATTCTTGGTAGGTAAAACATCGTACATAAAAAAATATATACTTCATATTATATATAAAATATTCTAACAAATTCTTTTTTTTTAAATTATTTTTCAGATGAAAATGTGAATGAAGTTGATTGTCAAAATGAGGATACGGATCCATGCCCAATTCGCGTTCCAAAGCATAAAGCCAAATGGAGAACCAACAAAATTAGACGTCGACGTACCCAACCCAACGATGAGAGTCTCATTGCCCTATTGAGCATTGCCGAATCGTTTAAAAAATTGCTAATGCTATAGAGATTCAAGCAACATTAGATACGCTAAACCATACCAACTGACGATTGGTTCTTGAAAAATTAGATGGCGTGAACGTAGACAGGCATGACATAATGCAACTCATGAAAGTATTTCGATCGGATGAGAGTCTGGCTAGAGTATTTGTGAGCCTCAATGATGAAAAATTCATGCGTGATTTAGTATTTGAGAATCTTGGTCGTGATCCGCCTCGACTACTTTAAGATGATGAGCTTGGATAATTCAACATACACATGTAAAAGCATGGTATTTATATTGATTTGAATTGCTACTTTTTTACATAGAGATTTTTTGATTTTTGTTATTTGTAATTCTTATGTTATACGTTGGACCAAATCTTATCATTATTTACTAAATTGATTATTTGATAATTACTTTTGATTGGAATAATAATTAATTCAAGTGTATGAGTAGAAATCTGAATTTGTGACGCTGTTTTCCTTATTTGTTATAAATTTAATTATTTTCTATCACATTATCGTCGAAATATGACTTTTTTAAAGATCATAATCATGGTATGCATGCTATATTAACTTAATTATGAAGACACCATTGTATAGTATTTCTAAAAATTGATTGACAATTTCCATGGAAAAAAGTGGTTGTCAAACAACTAAACTTGGAAAAAATAATCATTTCCATAGAAAATAATGTCTATCAAACATCAAAAGATGGAAAATTGCAACATTTTTTTATGTAAAAAATTAAGTCAAACAAACACATATAATTAATAATTTCCTCGAAAATAATTTCTAGATAATTGAATTACATAGAAAATATTTCTTTCCATACAAATTTCATGCGTGCAATCAAGTTTTGTGTTCCTCAGTTAGGAACAAAAACTGTCATGGGTGCTAACTGCTCATTAAGAAATAATTTTTCAAGGGGAGAGGATGTAAAAATAATTGACATCAGTTTTAAATCTACGGGTGAACAAGAAAACTACCAACCTGTCAATTCCGTGTAACCTCGTTGAAACTGGGGTTTTGAAGTCGTTAGTTTCAAAGTTGAATCAAGATTTGGTTTAGGTTTTGTAGTTGATTGAAATCAAATGCTCACGTAATATTTTAAAAAAGAATATTGTTTCACTCGAGATAAATATATTATTTATTAGTTCAAATTATATTTCTACAAATTTATTTTTCTAGTCGGCTCCAATTTTTCATTAAGGAAATAATTATTCATACATACATACATACATACATACATATATATATATTGATTCAAGTATTAAAATATTATTTGAAATATATATTTATTTTTTACTTATTTAAAAGATGTTAACTGTTCAAGTCGCTAAAACTATGATTTGTAACTAAAAACGAATTGCAAAATTTGTTTGGTTTAAAAAATTTCTTAAACCGCTAAATTGATTTCGTTTGCACCCTTACTCAAATTCCTTCACTTGCAAACAAATCCATTTCATCATTACCATTCAATACTTAAACCACATAGCGAGTTCAGTGTCTCAATCTAGCAATCGAACTCAACAAATATCATAATATTTAATCAACATGAGAAAGTTCATGAATATATAGTAGTTACATAGTTTAGTCGCAGATTCGTAGTTGATCATATTGAAATGTCGACCATATATAAAAAGGAGTTGGCTTAACGGGTGATGTTGGCCGGAAAAAGTGGCGGAACGGTAATTCCTTCGCTTTTCCACTTCTCAACATTTCCTTCCCAACCTGCATGCTTCATGGGGTTATTTTCCAAAATAAATATTGCATTCAATATAAATATTTTGTACTATAACAATATGGTCTATCTGTTCTTTTGTTCTTATTTATAGTTTCTTTGTTAAGCTTTCCATGTTCTAAACAATTAGTGCATTACCTATAGAGGGATCAACGCCACGATTCTTGAGTTCTCTGTATTCTTGACAAATACCACACACGCAGCAGCAACAATGTACTACAAAATCTGCACAAGGTGCTTCTTGCAGGTTGAAAAGTGCCCTCAATTTTGACCGGTAATTGCTTGTGTACAACCAAGTGCAGTGGACCATGTGGAGAGCAGTGTATATTCCACATCCAATTTGACTGGCTGTGACAAAGAAAAAGAAAAAGTAATTACATTAACTCTTGTTTCTCTAACATTTGATTCATGAGGTTTAAAATAAGCAATTGTGAAAGTATAGATGAAACTAGGCTATAACATTGAGTCTATAACGGAAAATAGATAAAAATAGAGAGAGAGAGGTTGAATTTCAAGTGTTTTACTTACGTGTTGTTCCTCTATCAATTATTTCGATAATCTGCCCCATAGTGATGCATGGACAAAAGAAAGTCTTCACGCCTTCAAATAGACACGTGAAAAAGAGCAAGGTAATCACAAGTAGGCAAACAAAAGACGTTGTAAGTAAATGCTACAATATTATGCCACTATTTGGTGAAAATTAAAATTCAGTACTAGAAGTCTGATTTTAATCTCCATCAAACGGGGACTAAATATTGTTAGGAAGAATGATAATTGAACTTCTATCTATTGTATTATGCACAACATTAACTTTGATGAGATAATAGGCAAACTAATGGAAAGATAAAAAGAAACAGATAATCTTTGAAGTTAATTACAATTGGAGCGATCGTCTAAGCAATCATACAACCCAGTGGACCAGTTGCCCTCCTTCGGGTACGAAGTCTTCATATAAGCATCTCCGGCTTTACTTGATTCCATATTTGTCGATTTGGAATTTTGATTGTACATGTTGCCTTTATATACTGCGATTCAGAGGTTTGTTTATTTACAATACAATTTCTGGGAAATTACAGGTACAATGTGAGGTTAGTGGTATCCATATTTTTAATGAATTAATGTCATTGACCAAACGTATTTCCAGCTCAAGCTTTAAATTTCCTGACATGAAATATTATACTTTATTTCCTCGTTCAACATCCAACAATATTAAAAAGGCGGGGTTTACCTCCT